TAGCAGATACTTTCCAAGAAATGGTTAACACTTAGAGGGTAACTGCAGGGAGATAGATTATAATCATGCTGTCTTAGCCCCGTGAACAACAGTTATTGTTTTACCTACTGGAACAACAAAGATGATAGATACAAAACAGAAAAAAAAGAAAGAAATCAAAACAAAATTATTTTCTGGATTTTTATTGCCTTAATAACTAAATTTCCCAAAAGCATTCAGTTTCATATCACTGAACAAAGAACTCATTCCTTGATATTTAGGTAGAAGCACCATGTAAGTTAATGTGGTATTAAAATCAGAAAAACCCAGCCAATCATTTTATTTTTATCAATGCAAGTCAAAATTAAACTGCACAAACTTGTATTTTATTGTGATCACACTCTAAGATAAAAATAGAATAATACAACTTAAAGTTTGATAGAAAAAAACTAATGGGCCTGTTAAACTTCAGATAAAAAATGAAAAGATAAAAATATATATTAAAAACACTTTTTTGGTTTATTTTTGATGTTTGAAAGAATCTGTTTCTCTGGCCTACTGATAAGCTATGGGTTATATAATATTTCTATGATAAACTAAGCAAGTTGTAAATAGTGTATCAGCATTTTTCAGATCTCTACAGACACTTATGCACACGACACACATAATAAAAAGTAAAAAAAAAAAAGCTGTTTTCTGATCAGAACCAATATACATATTGTATTACATTCTGAATATTCATAATATTAATGAGCATATTAAAAGCTTAAAATGTAATGCAATGACTAAGCCTATCAGACTTTGTTTAAAACATAGTTTTGAAAATTTACTTGACTACGATTTAATTCCTATAGACAGTCAAAGAAGGCACACTTTTCAAAAACACTGTGAAGAGCCATGGCATCCTACTGCATTCAAGGGCACACACAGTCTAAATTTAAAAAGAATCCCTCCAACACTGTACAATTAATTAACTTAAATATAGGTTACTTCTTTTTCATTAAAGATACACTTTCTCTAATATTGGTTTCTAGCTTCTTTCTAATCTGTTCACTCCCCTGGGGATATTTGATCTCCCTACTCTTGCGATTGCTTTCTGCTATCACCAGCTTTATCCAAAGTTAGAAAATATGCAATTATGCAAAAGAAATGTTTCCTTCTGTAATTGTCACTCCTTTAGCACTCCTTTTCATTGCATTGCTTCAGCAGGTTTTCGTATTACACAATGACTGATATTTTGTGTCTCTTCTTATGTTTCATGGTGAATATTTTAAGTATTTTGTAGAATCCTTCAATCTTCATAATATACTCTCTATTTCCTAAATATTTTTTTTTCTAAACCTATAGTTTTTACCTGTCACACATTTCTGCAGTGCCTTTTACAGTGTACTCCAAAATATAAAAATGGAATTTACTCTGTTGAGTTGCAGATCTGCTTAAAAATAAAATATAAATTTAATGAATATATAATATAATATATATGTATATAAAAATTATATTACTATGCTTGTCCAAAAGGAATAAAATAGGGAGTCAAAAAATAACAATAGTTTTTTGTTATAGCAGCTTGAGTGGACTATGACAATTGGCAATGCTTTTCCTTCACGTAGTAAGTGGAAGTCACCTGGATCCTGTGAACATTAGCATGTGTTAGATTATCTGGTCTTTTCAAGGCTACCTAACAATAATAGTTGGATTCCAAGACAAATCTAGGTATAAACACATGATGCTGTTTATAAAGGTACGATTTGTAAAAGAACACCCTGTGTATGAATTTTTGTTTTTTTTCAGAACAAGGAAAGATTGAGGATTAAAATATTGAGAATTATCATTAAAATGTCATGGATTCAATTCCATACCATTAACTATCTTTGAGCATATATGTCTTACTTCCTCAACTAGATATGGGAACGAAGAACATTTATTTTACTTTTTTGAATTAACAATGACTTCTGCTAATTTCCACAAAATTAGAGAACATCACAATTTTGTGGATTTTAGGCGTCATTTGTTTTTATGCTTAAATTTATTATAAAGTATAAGGGCTTCAATCCCCACTATTATGCATTATACCATCTAACAAACAAAACATACACATGTGCCCCCTTTATCTAAAATAAAATTACATTTTTTAAAAAGCTTAAGGGTGTTATGTGACTTGGTAATGTTCATGCAATTAGTTAATACCACATGCAAGAATTAAATTTAACATTCTATTAAAAGTATAATTTTTAAAGAATTAAAGAAACTTCCAACTTTCATGCTAGTATTTTGTAAAGTTATCATTTCTAATAACTACAGAACATGAATTTAATAAATATTAATTTCTGAGATCAATAATAAGTATTTAGGCTTTCCCTTCCCTGATTGCCTCATTTGTCACATAGCTAAACAATGCGTACATCTAAACATGAATGTGAAAGGAATACTAAAAGCAAAGAGAAACTCCTCATATAACACAAGCCACAGTAGAGATGCTGTACTGTCTAAACATTCAGAATATCTATTTAACAGATTTAGACACAAAGCTATAATAAAGGTCCTTGCAATGGTGTGAGGGTGCAATACTGATCTTCCTCTTTTAAAAGAGCTTTGACAACCCCAGCTTCAAATGATTAACTCGTCTTGACATAGTGGAGAAAACTATGTAAAGAGTATTTTGAAAAGATCGTGCAGTAGCTGTAGGTCTCTCTTAAAGAGCCGTTTTAAAGGGGTTAATGTGTCACTTAGAATTGGATGATCTCTGTTTTCTTCTATGTTGATTTTACTAAGGTTCTTAAAATGTGTATAAAAATAATATGATGTGTGCTGAAAAGTTGAGTAAATCTACTTGGTTTACTAAGTAAATCAGCAGAAATTCAAATTTTACTAGGCATAATTTCACATTTGGTAGTGAACTGAAATATTTACTGTGCAAAGTGTTTATGGGTAGCATAATAAAGATATGTGAGGAAGAAGGAGAGACAAGCGTATTGCTAATTGCAAGGCATGAGGAATTGACCATGTTTTGTAGACTTAGTTGTATCTTTTTTAAGTGTTTTCAAATTTAGCTTGATGGTTTGCACAGGCACTGAAGTGACACCACCAGGGTAAGAATTCCATTTCTGCTCCATATGTGGCTAGGTGTTCCTGAGCAAGTACTAAACTTCTTTGTGCCTCATTTTCTTCATCTGTGAAAAGGAGATCATCATAATAATGGCTACCACAGGTCACAGGGAGGGCTTTAAAAACATGAATTATATAGTGCTTAGCACAGTATCTAGAACACAATTAGCAATCAGTGACTTAGCTAGTATGGTGATAAGTAAATTGATACACTCTGAAGTCTTAATAAATCTGTACAAAGTATTTAAAACAGTCCATAAATAGTTTCTAAATTAACTTTTGCAAAATAATTGAAAAAATGTATTGCTCATTTTATTAACAAAAATATTATCTTTTTCTTAAATTAATTTGAGCACATATAAAGATAAAGATGAGGTCATCTAGATGCATGTAAGAATATAGTAAACTTTAAGATAGTTTTCTAATTTTGGGGCCCAATCAAAAATCATCCTGCCTTGAAAAGGGAAAGAAAATGATGACTTGGAATCAAACAAAGCACATATTTTAAAATGTCAGAACAAATCCTTTAAATTAAGTTAGCGGTATCTTATTACCAGACCACTTAACTGTAGCTATAATTACCATACATAAGAATAAATAGGTGGGGAAGTGCAAAATAGGTATATACCAAAATAAATTGAAGAGAATAAAGACGTATGAACTCATTTATTTTAGTATCATGACATGATAGAAAATAACACCACATTCAGGACAATGATTTACCCATCTTTCCAAAAGCATTATATGTTAGGTTTGTTCAGAATTTCTATGCTGTATTCTGAGGCATATACTTTTTCACTATATCTTCATAATTGCCCTGGAAGTTAGAGAATTTGCATATCAGAAAACTTAAGTTTATAAAGGCTAAATATTTTGCCTAAGGGCAATTCAATCTTCAATTGAATTAAACACTGTGCTTAGTCATATAGATTTGAAGTTAGTAAACTACAGCCTGCTGATTTGTTGCCTGGTTCTGTAAATAAAACTTTATTGGAATACTGTCATGCCTATCATTTACATATTCTCTATGTCTGTGGTAGTACCTATGTCTGTGTTAAAACGCTGTAGTTGTAACAGAGATCATACAGTCCATGAAGCTTCAAATATTTACTATCTGACCTTTTAAGAAAAAATTTGCATTACATTCCACATCTTCTTCAAGGCGGTGGAGGAGTGAGGAGCCTGAGGATCATTTTATCCTTCAGGCCTGTACAGTGGTAAGGACGGGGTACAGATTTCTCTAGTGGTATAGCCACCCAGATCTAACCACTGATCCTCCCAGTCACCAAGGCAGTTACTCCTTACATGTCAAAGGGGTGCCCTAGCATCTCACCATTCTTCAGGCCCTAAGTACCTGCTGTAAGTGTTCTCCAGGGACAGCATAGCAACTCTTCCACTAACATTTCATTTCGAGCCCAGGGAAAAGAGAGCCCAATAATTAGAATAGATTTAATGGTGAAAAGTTCCCATTCTCCTCTCATCAGAGCTTCTTAGGGTGCTTTGAGGACACAAACACAGGGGATCATTTCATTCTTTTCTAATTTTCTTTTATCCTGGGACAAGTAATAAATTTTATTTCACATTTTTAAAAGCTATAAATAACCATGAAGCATATGCAAATCACTCTAACAATTCCAATACAATTAATAACTAGAAGGAAATTAGTTATTGTTGCTCCAGAAAAAGTTTATGAGTTGAGCTGTCTCTATGGTAGCAAATGCATTTGAAAGAAGTTTTCAAAATACTATCCACAATTTTCTTTTGTGTGTGATAAATTAGTTATTCAATTGGATTGTTTCAATCAATTGGTTATTTTGAAATTCCTTGATATGCACATTTTAGGAGAGTATAAATCATATGGGTTTTATGTATATCATTGTATAACTCCATAACCAGAAAATTTCTGATTAACTTACATGTCTCTGGGATCCATCGTATTCACACCTTTCAATTTTTCCTAGACTGCCATCTGAGAAATACAACTTCTCTGCACGGTAGTCGATAGTGAGTCCATTTGGAGTGAGTATGTCTGTACTGACCACCACTTGTGCATTTTTCCCAGTCAGGGTAGATCTCATGATACTTGGATGTTGTTCATTCCAATTGGTCCAAAACATTAAACTAATTAAAATAAAAATTGTAATTATAAATTAAACTTCTCATCAAGAGTAAAAATACTAACAGAAACATGGTAATACCAAGCTATTTAAAAAGAAGCAGAATTATTTTCCTCACATTCTGTGATCTTTCACAAAGTCTAGGTAATAAAAGAAGATATGTATATTATATTTGCATGTTAATTTTCCTCAGGTTCTTAAATTAAAATTAGAATGTACTTCTAAAAAATCATTATCCTGTGTATCCCTTCAAATGATAGATAATGTTGTTAAATTAAGTTAGATGCATAATGAAGGTTTATTTTAATCAAGAACAAAACAGTGATCTTGTTTGTTTTCCACGAACTGTAAATATACCCTAATTTATTACCACATTTTAGCTGATCCAGTATAATCATTCTTAACCTAAGTATACTTACCTTCTTCAATTGATGAAAATAAAAATTCTTCCTCTTCCAATTTTCCTTTTTTTATATATTTTAAGGTCTGGGTTACATGTGCAGATTGTGCAGGATTGTTACATAGGAATACACATGTCATGGTGGTTTGCTGCATTCATCCCCATGTCATCTACATTAGGTATGTTTTCTAATGTTATCCCTCCTCAATTCCCCCACCCTCTGCTATTTCTCCCCTAGCTCTCCCACCCCTCAATTGGCCACTGTGTGTGATGTTCCCCTCCCTATATCCATGTGTACTCATTGTTCAATAACCACTTATGAGTGAGAACATGCAGTGTTTGATATTCTGTTCTTGTGTTAGTTTGCTGATAATGATGGTTTACAGCTTCATCCATATCCCTTGCAAAGGACATGAACTCATCCTTTTTTATGGCTGCCTAGTATTTCATGATGTATATGTGCCACATTTTCTTTATCCAGTCTATACTTGATGGGCATTTGGGTTGGTTCCAAGTTTGCTATCGCAAACAGTGCCACATGAACATACATGTGCATGTGTCTTTATAATAGAATGATTTATAATCCTTTGGGTATATACCCAGTAATGGGATTGCTGGGTCAAATAGTACTTCTATTTGCAAATCCTTGAGAAACCTCCACACTGTCTTCCACAATAGTTGAACTACGTTAAATTCCCACCAAAAGGGTAAAAGTGTTCCTATTTCTCCACATCCTCTCCAGCATCTGTTGTCTCCAGATTTTTTTAATGATTGTCATTCTAACTGGCGTGAGATGGTATCTCAATGTGGTTTTGATTAGCATTTCTCTAATAACCGGTGATGATGAGCATTTTTTCCATGTTTGTTGGCTGCATAAATGTCTTCTTTCGAAAAGTGTCTGTTTATATCCTTCACCTGCTTTTTGATGTGGGTTTTTTTTTTTTCTTGTAAATTTGTTTTAGATATTTGCAGATTCTGGATATTAACCCTTTGTCATATGGGTAGATTGCAAAAACCTTTTCCCATTCTTGGTTGTCAGTTCACTCTAATGATAGGTTCTTTAGCTTTGCAGAAGCTCTTAAGTTTAATTAGATCCATTTTGCCTATTTCGGCTTTTTTTGCCATTGTTTTTGGTGTTTTAGTCATAAAGTCCTTTCCCATGCTTACGTCCTGAATGGGATTGCCTAGGTTTTCTTCTAGGGTTTTTATGGTGTTAGGTCTTATGTTTAAATCTTTAATCCATCGGGAGTTAATTTTTGTATAAGATATATGGAAGGAGTCCAGTTTCAGCTTTCTGCACCTGACTAGCCAGTTTTCCCAACACCATTTATTAAACAGGGAATCCTTTCCCCATTGCTTGTTTCTGTTAGGTTTGTCAAAGATCAGATGATTGCAGGTGTGTGGAATTACTTCTGAGGCCTCTGTTCTGTTCCATTGGTCTATATCTCTTTTGCGTATATTTTGGAGAAAGAAAATTACTAAACTCCTATTTTGTAAATTTCCTTTTTTCTCACTTAGTGTGATTTTTTTTACAAATTACAATATCATTTCTAAAACTCTAGGGATGACTTGTATATCCTTCAGCATGCTGTTCTCTGTGGATTGCCATGTATAATCATTTAAAGGCAGTTTAGCACAACAGCCCACAAAGTTATTCAATATGTGTTTTTCGAGTACTTTGTGACACTTATTACCAGACAATATTAAAATTCACAAAAAAGTTTGTATTAAATTTTTATTGTTGGTAGTTTTACTTACAAATTGTGACATTTAAAATTTTAAAATTAGTGAACTGAGGCCAGGTGTGGTGGTTCACTCATGTAATCCCAGCACTTTGTGAGGCCAAGGCCAGGGGATCATGAGGTGAGGAGATCAAAATCATCCTGGACAATGTGGTAAAACCCCATCTCTACTAAAAATACAAAAAATTAGCTGGGTGTGGAGTTAATGGAGATGCTGAGGCAGGAGAGTTGCTTGAACCTGGGAAATAGAGATTGCAGTGAGTGGAGATTGCACCACTGCACTCCAGCCTGTGCAACACAGTGAAACTTTATCTCAAAAAAAAAAAAAAAAGCTGAATTGAAACATTTAAAAAATTATGCATAGAATGTAAAGTATTAAACTTACAATTTATTTACAATATTTTCCTAAATTATAGGCTTTATAATAAGAGAATTTTAGAGTGTTAAGTGTTTCTTTCATTTCCCCTCTTCATTTCACAGGTGAGAAATGAAGATAATGGCCCAGAGAGCTTAAGTAATTAGTTTTCACAAATAAAGAGTAACTGAGCCAAGTTTTAGACTTAGAATGCCTAACTTTCATTTGCAATTTAGAATTTTATTTTAAAATTTCTGTTAACCTATTAAAATACAATTGTGATTTGAAGGTGTCATTTGCATATACAATGATAAAATGTTTTTTTAATACTTTAAACTTTAATTACAAATAATTATCAAATTAAAATATTTTATGTGCTTAATTTTAACTTACAGCTCACCACATGCAAGGTAAAAACTATAACTGTTACACTATGTAATAAATAATTACAGGATAAAGCACTTAATTAAAACTCATCATGTAATATCATGAGTGACCTCTTTATGTTTATTTCAAAACTGACTTATAAATTCCTTTGCCCAACTCTTTTATTTCTACTATGGGATATTTATAATTCTTTTGGTGATGTGTTGGGATAAACGCAGCTGAGCCAGCAAGCCATATCCTGATATGACGGTGGTGAGAGCAGTCTCCCATGCTCCATGACGGGTCATTACATTGCTCAACCTTGAGTTTTCACGTAGAAGATGATGTTCAATTAAGTAAATGAAATCTGATCTCACTTTTAGCTCTATAAACGGGTCCAGATTTACAACTATTTTCACTCTGACCAATTTACATTATTTAGTCCTTTCTTTGACAAGCGGTCAGGGTCAGTGATTATCTGTCACTACTTTGAATTCTTTATACTTTTTTCATCACACCTAAAAAGAGCTCCTCTAGCTTTGCTCAGGGAAGACCACATTGGTCTGATTTTCGTTTGTTTCATTTAAAAATAATAAGGGTTTTCTAATAGTTAACTACTTTACCATATTGTGTATGACAGTAAAAGTCCATAGAAAGATTGTTTTTGTCCCTTACTTCTGCTTTCTTCTTCAGTTTTCTGTTAACGTAACTGCTTCCTTTAAGACATCCCCTAACACATAATTTTTTTCTTTACTTTTATTCACTGAGCATTATATCCTGAGCATTTTCTTCTGTCATGAATTTTTTAACAAGCGTTATTTTAGGTGTCTGTACAAAATACCATCAAACAGCTGTAGACTACTTAGACTATTATCAAGTACCTGGTGCTGAAAAGATAGCTGCACACAAAGATGTTTGAATTGTTGCAGTTTGCGTTCTTTTGTATTTCTATTTAGGAGATCCCCAGATGCTATAATTACTTAATTAAAATTAAAAAAAAAAAAACTCTTAATCTTCCCTGTTTGCTTAGTCTTCTGTATATGCTTAGTTTTTTGTTAAATTTGTGATTCCAATCAGCTATGCATTAATTTTTTCTTCACAGGCCTTTTCAAGCATAGTATCGTCTCTTTCTATTTTGCCTTTCATTATTTAAATTTGTTTTACTGGATCTCTCAGGGAGATGAGACCTGGCATTTCAAGGGTACAAATTTTAATTTTTCACATTTATAGTGCTCTTATATTAAAAAAGTTTTATGAATTACAAAAATAAAACTTAAACCTTTTATTTCTAAAGATAATTCTTCTTAAAATTAACGTAACTCTGATATTCCTTTGACTTATAATTACAATGAAGAAATAAAAATACACTGTTTCTTACTTTTGACATTCATCCAAAGCCAGCACATGTGGGTGGTCATCCTCTGACATGGTGATGACCGCTTCCCTGTCAAATGCTCCAGGCCGAGTCTGGTCCACCGTGTGTCTGGTAATGGATGAGGTGGTGGAGCTTGTCCAGTACAGTGTGTCCCAGGCTCTGTGATAGGCAAGTCCTTCCACAGAACCCACATCTAGTGGGGGAAGAAGAAGAAAAAACACATATTTTTATTAACAAAAAATGACCCCGGACAGAAAAAGCATTGAAGATACACACATATAACTGTTATTCCATCAACCATATCTCCACAAATTCTCCAATTAAATGTAGTCATTGTGATGCCTACAATTGATAGCTGATTGTACATATTATATAATGGAAACAATTTTTGCAAAAATATCATTATAGACTTAATCTTCTCCATAAAAAAAAACACAATTAAATAACTGCCTTTCATTTTGGAAAATGGTGGCTCTTTATCTTTCCTGTATCTTAATCAATTTTCATAAAATATCCAGTTGCAACACTTTAGAGATGCTTTTGAAAATCTTATGTCAGCACTACCATTTATGCACAATCATCGTGAGTTTTCTCTTGATACTATAAATCAGGAGATATCCAGGAAAAGCAAACATATCAAAAACTACAACACTATGAGAAATCAAACTCCTTACTTGCAACTATCAAACAATGGTAGATAATGTCTTACTAGGTTAATGTGGCAATTTCTTTGCTTCTATTCAACTAATGTGGTAGAAGAACAAAACGAGAAAAAGAAATTAATTGCCAGCTAAGGCATGCTTTAAATGTCAGACAAAGATAAATGGTGGTACACAGATCCTAATACATAAAAGTGACAAAGTGAAAAACAAAAATAATTATTTCTTAAAATTGTATTCCCAATCTCTAGGGTAACATAGAGTAGATGTTTCATTTTTCATAGACATGCTTTGAGTACATCTTTAAGAATAACCAAATTATTACACTTTTTCTTTTTTTTTTTTTTTTTGAGACGGAGTTTCGCTCTTGTTACCCAGGCTGGAGTGCAATGGCGCAATCTCAGCTCACCGCAACCTCCGCCCCCTGGGTTCAGGCAATTCTCCTGCCTCAGCCTCCCGAGTAGCTGGGACTACAGGCATGCGCCACCGTGCCCAGCTAGTTTTTTGTAATTTTTAGTAGAGACGGGGTTTCACCATGTTGACCAGGATGGTCTCGATCTGTTGACCTCGTGATCCACCCGCCTCGGCCTCCCGAAGTGCTGGGATTACAGGCTTGAGCCACCGCGCCCGGCCTATTACACTTTTTCTATGTGTTATCTGTTTTTCTCAGAATTATTATTCTGAGCATATTTAACAAGAAATATATACACCTTTTGCAGTCATACCAAGAAATTAACATTATTACAGACAGAGTCTTTCTTCCACTTTTCTCTTGAAGAATCTCTAAAAGGATTTATTCAGCTCCTATAAAAATAGGTATATGAAGAGAGCTGTTTCTGGGTTTAAGATGAGTTAATATTTAGTTTGGTGGGATCAATAGGATTTTGTGGGAACTCAAAACAATAATTAAAGCTTTTGAACAATGTTTTTTGTGATTAATTTTCTGTCATTTCTTTTTTTACGTGCAACATGAAATATCCAATAATAATGCAATTGATAGCTATCATTTTTAGGTGCCATGTGCAAATTGCTTTTCATACATTGTTTTATTTTATGTATAAATCTACTCTGTGAAGTTTGTGTCAGAATTCTCCATTTCCCAAGAAGAAATCTGAAATATATAGTCACAGGACTGATAATATTAACACAAAATTTTTAGCCCCTTCCCATTCATCTGCTTCCAAAAGCCTATGTTCTTAGTAGAATCACTATTTGTATATGGGTTTATAGTGCTTACTACTTATCCTTAATCTATACCAATGTGAAATCAAAGAAATGATTCATTAGTCTCAACTTACTTGACTCTAGGAGAATTATATATCTAGTAATATAACATAGACAGCCTTCTCTCATGCAGTCAACAAAGCAGTTCACAAGGTATTAAGGCCGGGTGACTAGTATGAAAATGTAGGCCGGAGATGATGGAAGAAAAACTATAAGACACAGTCATTATAAAATCAGTTAAGCTAATTTTATGTGATGCATATAGTGCTCCTACTTGGAGTGAGTAAATAAAAAGTTGATAATGGTTAAGAATGTTTAAATCATTAATTAATAATTATCTTTGGCAGAGCATTTTTAAAACTTCCAAATCATTTCAGAAATGCAGTTAACTCTATTAGTAATATCTGCAGCATTACATGCCTTTCATCATTCACAAATAGAATGAGAAATGGCATGTCTCTGAAAATATTCAAGCGAATAAGAAGAATTAATCCATCCTCATTCTACATCTTCCCTTCCAGTGATTATGACATATCTTCCTCTTGGCAACTTTCTCTTGCCAATTCAGGAGGAAAACACTTGGTATCACCATTGAGATGTGGCAGATGCTTCTTTTCTATAGTTAATATAATTGTAGAGTTACTAGAGCACGTATTACATCTCAACATCCAGATGTAATATGTTTTGTTTTATTTTTGTAATAGATGACAATCAGAAATTCGACTTAATAATTATGCGTTGACACATTTTAAAATATTTTAGTAATGTACTTCTTTCTAAAAAATGTTTAGATCCTTATTACAATTATATTTTAACAATAAATATTATTGAAATATTTTAGTTGAGGTAATGTAAGACATGTTTCTCAATTTTGTGATGATTTGTCGACAGTGTAGGGGCATGTGGCATGTGTATATGTGTGTGTGCATATATATATCTGTGTTTGAACACTGAGATTCCTAAACAGTTGAACAGCCGGAAAAAGGACTTTGAGTTACTGATGGTGAAAGGCAATTATGTAGTTTGAAAATAAAATAAAATGTTATCTAGAGAACCAGACTTGAAATACTGAGCAGAGTAAATCAATTCAGAGCCAAATTCTTGGAATTCAAGGGCGTAGAATAGGCATAATTAAGAAAACAACTATAACTGCTATTTCAGCAGCTCCATACTTTTCACCCCAGCAACATAGCAACATATATGTATATATATATAAATGAAATGTAATGTAAAGCTAGTAAAAATACCACCTCCTTACCTCATGCACTTGATAAGAAAAAAAAAAAGAGTTTTCTTCCCTCTTACCCACCTTTGAGCAGGCTTTGGCTAAGCGTAAGTCAGGTCCTGACATGTTTTTGCAGAAGAAAGAAGTGGATGCCAGCACATCAAAAAATAGAAGCCAGGCAAGGAACTCAGAGCCGTGGTTGTACCACCCTATTTCATGGATTCTAGTTTCACAGCAATCATGGGAAAATTGATTCTGATAGCTTGACAGAGAAGTAAATTACTACTCTTACAGCGATCCAAAGGACTTCACTTCATAGAGAACATACTTTCCTCTCATCATCACTGAGGAACTGCAACAGTCCCTTCTTGCCTTCACATCATCTTAAAGGCAGGATTAAGAGCTTACCAAATGGGAAAGGCAGTGAAGGATATTACTCCTAGGGAATCACATCCATGAAACACTATTATTCATCTGGCTAGGATAACAGTCACAGATAAATCCAGTTGCAAATTGGCTTTGCTGTGTCCTCACCCAAATATCATCCTGAATTTTAGTTCCCATAATCCCAACGTGTTGTAGGTAGGATACAATTACCTACCTAGTGGGAGGTAATTGTATCATTGGGTCAGGTTTTTCCATGCTGTTTCCATGATTGTGAATAAGTCTCATGATCTCTAATGGTTTTATAAACAGCATTTCCACTGCACACGCTTTCTTGCCTGCCACCATGTAAGATGTGTCTTTGCTGTTCTTTCACATTCTGCCACGACTGTAAGGCCTCCCCAGTCATGCAGAACTGTGAGTACATTAAACTTCCTTTCCTTTATAAATTACCTAGTTTCGTGCATGTTTTATTAGCAGTGTGAGAACAGACTAATACACAAAGTTAGCAGGAAATAACATTTATCTCAAGGACATGCTACAATTATAGAGCATAATAATAAAGTCCTTGTTGACTGTGTACTGCTTTCTTACTGGTTTGTTCTCCAAAGCCACAGAGTATCAGTTTGTTGTTTGAAATTATATCATTAGTAGAAAGCATCCAAATCTTGTTTGGAGGATCTCAGTTACTTTGACACAGAGAAGCAGTTTGAATTTCCAGTCCAGGTACAGAGCTTAAAATAAGAAGTTCTGCACAAAATATTGCACATCTATATTAACTGTGAATTCCAAGGAGAGAGGATCCTAGTTCCACTTTACTACCTAGATCTGATGTTGAACTCTTTACAAATAGTACACATAACTGTGCTCTACTTTAAGCCTAATAAAACACTACTTTACTGAAATTGTGCCTAATTCTACCCTCTGTAAAAATATTCTAAAATTTTTCTTTCTCTTACTTTCTTTTCCTTTTTCTCTCTCATTTCCTTCCTTCCCTTTTAACTTCCTTCCCTCCCTCCCTACCTCCCTGCATTCCTTCCTTCTTTCCTTCTTTCTTTCTTCCTTTTTGTGAGAAATGCCATAGTTTTTCTAGTATACTATCTCTCTCATTGCATAAGATAATAAGTTGACATAGTTGAATGATGGGTTTATTTGACAAAATTCAAAAACTCTTTCATTTTAAAAATATTCAATAAACTAGCAATAGAATTTCCTAACCTTGATTAAAGGAATATAAAAACCCAAGGCTCGTATTGTATTTAGTGGTGAGAAAATTAATATTTTCTCTCAAAGATCAGGACCAAAGAAAGCATGTCCACTTTTGCCCTTTTATTCAACTGGCACTGAATAAAATTGGAGATTCTAGCAAGGATAATTGGGGGTAGGGTAAAGAGAGAGAGAAGGAAATAAATAGTATCCAGATTGAAAAGAAAATAAGTAACACTATCACTATTTTTAGATGGGAAGTACTGGTATATACAAAATCTTAAGAAATTTAATAGAAATGTATAGCCAGGTTGCAGGTTACAAAAGCAACATACAAAAAAACAGTTGCATTCTATATAAGAGCAATGAACAATCCAAAAATAAAATTAAAAAAACAATTTATAACAGAATTTTAAAATATAGAATACTTAGAAATAAGTTTAGTAAAATAATTGTAAATGTTAAAACATATACGCCAAACTACAGCACATCATT